AACCCTCAAACTCCCAGGCCTCTGGTAGAGGACCCGAGCTTGAGGATGACAAATACCACCCCACGAGGGGTGAGAAAACAGTTTTTTTTTTTTGTTGTATATATATATCTATATATATATCTATATATATAGATATATATATATAGATATATATATATATATGATCCTTATCCCTTATGATATTTGTGGGGCTTTGCATGGTGCCTCTCCCCTAAGTCCGTGTGAGCAATCAGTGCATACTGGACATCCCCAAGCATTACAGCACGTCAGATAACCTGCGTCATGTACGCTATCTCAGCTCTCCTGCTCAGTCCTTTAAAAAAAACAAAAAAAAAAAACGAAGGCAGCCCTCTCCTGCAGCAGAGACTGGGTGCCTATAAAAGGTCACTTTAATTGATTGATTGTAGTAAAGTTCCACTTTAGACTGCGAGTAACTTAACAGCTTTATCAATATATGAAAAGTAATTATATTACTCTGTTAATGAAGATACTCTACTGGTTGTTTCTATGTTTTATTAAAACTATTAATTCGCACAATTAGCCTTCACTCGAGGCAAGACATTTTCAAAAGTTGTAGAAAAGGTGTTTTACCCCCTGCTTATGACCCTTTAAGTTTCTTTCAGTCTTTCCCTCACTTTGCTGCTTTCTAAGAGTTGGAACCCCTGACAGTCATTAATTCTGCAAAAGGGTTATGTTTTTAGTAGAGTTTTGGGGTTTGTCTGTCGGTGTACAAGAAATAACTTGAAAAGTAATTGAGTGATTGTAATGAAATTTTAACAGAGGTGTCCCTCATGCTGATGAAAAATCTGTAAAATTTTGGTGATCATCCTGATAATAATTGGATACAGGATTATAAAACATGAGGTAAAGATATTTTCACAGAACAAGCAGTTTCCATCTAAACCAGAGGGTGGCAGCAGTGACTATTGACAGCCTCAGCATTGGACTCAAAAAGTCTGGAGGAATTTTACTGAAGACTGTCACAAAAGAAAATGGAACTTTGTTAATTTGTCAGCAGGATCAATAGAAAACTTATGAACGGATTCTATTGTTATTTTTCTTTCTTTTTTTTTAACCAGACGTGCACCTCATGCAAGGAACAATTCATTTGAATTTGATAATGATCCAGATCATGTACACGTTTTAGCTATAGTTGTAAGTCACAATATGGGGCAACATTTGCGGCTTGGCAGAGGTCTGCATTATCCATGTGCTTTTCTAGTTTCTATATGGGATTGTTGATCATTTGAAGCTCTTGCTGCACTACTGATACAATTTACACTGATAAAATCATATTGGCGAAGAAAAAACAAGCACCTGAGTTTTGTGGCAACTAACCAAGTTAGGTAGAGCTTTAAAATGTGAAAATAAGAAACTGGAGCAAGTGACAAAATTAAAACTTTATTTGAATTCAAATGGACTCTTCTGCTGCTCATAAGTTTAGAACCAGTAGCTTTTATAAATGTTATCTGTCCATAAATCTGTGTCAGATTTATGGACTGATAACATTTATAAGAGTTCAGTCAGTTCTAAGTGTCTGTTGCTCTCATTTCATGTATCGGACACAGGACAAAAGTTGGGGAGCTACTAGCCTAAAGCAAGTGCATGTCACAGGTCATCTGATCCTGCCCAGGATATATCGAGAAACATTCACCACCGTGAAAAACACAGTATATGATGAAATATGGTTATTCCACACTCCATGCTGGATACCTTAAAACACAATTTAGGAT